CAAACTGTTTAAAGTGGAGGGCGGAAAAGCGTTTCTTGTGATTTCAGATAAAGCTTCAAATAACTGGCACCCATGATTTTAAGCCACAATAAGGCCAAGTGTCGCTACTCTGAAGCGTAGCTTATTTAATGACACTATTCATGCTCCTGTTCAAGAGGCTTGTAATACCTGGAGGGGCCATGACGTAAGCCCCGTGGATTCCACAAGCCTTTTGACACCTGCCTCTTCTTCATAGTTCGCGCTTGTGCCAGTAAATTAGCTACGGTTCAGAGTAACGACACTTGGCCATACTGTGGCTTAAAATCATGGTTGCCAGTTATATGAAGCTTTATCTAAAATCACAGGAAACGCTTTTCCGTCCCTCACAAATGTTTAAACAACCCGCGACAGAGCATTGCAATATTGCATCAGCTTCCTAGCACCGCATCTAATGCTGAGGAAGTCGTACTTTTGGATCATGATGATCGGCAGTTGCGTTTGCTCTGAGCAAGACCCAAAATGGCGGCGCCGAAAACGATTTTGGGGAACGGAGTGCCGATACTTTAAAGCTCATTTAGTAATTCTAGGCATGAGGTGAACTCGGGTGTATTCCTTTCCTCTTCGTCTTCATTGTTTATTGATTTCAATCATATCGAATAATGAACACATTATATCAGACGGAGGAAGAAGAAGCGACAAAGTTAGAGCAGTGCTCTGTATGAGCTCCGTCTCAATTCATCCCGGCTGACTAATAATCCTCGCTATCCACCCCTTCCAACGTTACCAAAAGTTGGGCAAGTGTTTCAGCGCAGTGTGAATTTTCTATTTCATCTGTGTGGGGATTTTTTCGCTTTACGAGACGTGTGTTAGACCACGCCGGTGGAGCTAGGCCTAACACTGGGCGAGGCCGCTCGAAGGGCGAAGACCCAAGCTCCACGACATGGAAGTGACTGTCGAGGGCACTGAAATTACTCCGGAGACGCTCCGAGAACCTGGTTGGCTTCCGGCGCACCGGAAGCACAGGCACAAGAGCCCGGACGCCGAAACTACACCCGCCACGCGGCAACAGTCAATGCCGAGCAGCAAGTTCAGACCCCGAAAGTTACCACCGCTACCTCAACTACCTGCGGAAGACTACAAAGTTGTCATTCGTCTCCAAGGAGGATTCAACGCCAAATCATGGAGCGCTGCACAGATTTCCGACAGCATCCAACATTGCGCCCAGCTTCGAAGTGGGGCGGACAAAGATATCATCCGCACCATGCCTGAACAAAATATCGTTATTGCCAGTACGCCTGAGGAAGATAACGCGGTCGCCTACTGCAGCCTTAAGGAAGTTAAGATCGGTGCCAGAACGTACTCCTCGACTACTTACGTTACGGCGCCGGACAACTCGGCAAAAGGGGTCATCCACAACATCCCCTCGTACGATAGCCCGGCGGACATTGAACGAAGCCTAGAACGAAATACGCCCAGGGTACTACAAGCGCGACGTCTCGGAGAGACGGCATCGGTGCTCATCGTCTTCAAAGGAAAATCGGTGCCCTACTACGTAAACTACCGTAACACAACATACAGGTGCTTGCTGTATAAAAGAAAGATTGAAGTCTGTGAAAACTGCTACAAGGTAGGACACAGGAAGGATATCTGCCCCACACCAGACGACAAACGCTGCTCAAAATGCGGAACCCTCGCCCCAGAGGGAAGCCACGAATGTACGATGCGCTGCGCAATATGCGGTGGGGAGCATATGTCTGGTTCGAAAGCGTGCCAACACCGCTTCCACGCCCCACAGAGGGCCGCACGCAGGCAACAAACTGCAAACGAAGAAGCTACAGCACCCACTTCAAGACCTAGCATCGGAAGGCAAAGCCGCTCCAAGGACCGGCGCTCTGCCGCTGAATCAGCATACGCAAGTCAAGGGACCTCTCGCAGTCGCAGTGCGCGAAGACGTAGTCAGAGTGCGCGTGGCAGCAGTCGCAGTGCCGGCGGTGGGCGAGGACTGATCGGGCAGAAAACGGATCGAGGTGACAGTAACTCCGGCGGCGGCGAGGAAAACCAGAGACCCCCCAGAGGCTCAACAACCACTAAGGTGACCTGGGCATCGGTAACTGATCCCTCTACTGACCAACGAGCTAATAGAGATAATGAAAATCAAATGCTACGCGCAGAAATCATGCAGCTCCGACAAATGTTACAGCGACAAAATGCTCTAATTGAGCAACTTCAACGCGAACGTCAACCATTGGCATCCCCAAATCCTGTACAAGTTAACGCACCGGCAGATAGAGAACAGATGGACGTTCCGAGGTCAGCCCCTAAACGCAAAGCGGTAGAGACAGCCGAAGGGCCACATGAAAACCCGAACACTACTGCTCCACACACAGAACTTGCACCCGCTGTGAAACCACAGGACATAGCGAGACTGGAAACTATGATACAAAACATAATGACAGCCATCCAGACTCAGCATCGAGAAAATACTGTCCGGCATCAAGAAACGACAGCGCAGTTGCAAACGCTTACCGGTAACACTCTCGACCTAGAAAAGAACATGAAGAAACTTGAAGTTGAAAACGAGCGTGTTGGTTAATAGATACAAACTTGAAAGTATAAAACAGAGAGGACGAGGACGGGAACAGGACATCTTTCATTTAGCAACAACATAGATTTGTTCATTTAGCAACAACATAGACATTTAGCAACAACATTCTATGTTGTTGCTAAATGAAAGATGTCCTGTTCCCGTCCTCGTCCTCTCTGTTTTATACTTTCAAGTTTGTATAAACTTGAAACGCGTCTCACGCCACTAGAAGGGACTGTGCAGCAGATGCAGCAGCAATGCCGTCCGTCTCGTTTCGAGTCGCCCTCCCGAAGTACAACACCACAAGGCATGGACCCCATGAGGCTATCGGAACCTATGTACTCCACCAGAAATATATCCCACCAAGATGACCAACGATAAATATACGGTCTGGCAGTGGAATTGCCGAAGCTACCAACGGAAAAGAGGAAACCTGCAACAACACTTAATCTCCCAACAAACTCCACCCGCCATCATCTGCCTACAGGAAACTGGGGGGACACCTAAACTCGCCAGTTACAAAACGTACCAGGGCGCAATGCCAGATAGTTTTACGGCCACCCTCGTACACCGGAACTCTATTGCTCTTCGACATGACATCGCACAATCAGAAATCGATCACGTCTTACTAGAAATTGTCCCACGCAGACCAGCGGAGCCGAGCCTATTTGTGCTTAATATATACAGTAGCCCCAAGTTCAAACAGCATCGGTTTCACTCACTCTTCCATGATACGCTACTCCGGGCTAAGCAGAACCCCTTGCTAATTGTGGGAGATTTTAACGCCGCCCATGCTGCCTGGGGGTATCGCACCGAAACACCCAAAGGAAGGCATCTATGGATGGCGATACAACAGGAAGGGCTTACCCTCCTAACGGATCCACAACACCCCACGAGAATAGGTAACAGTATTAGTGCTGACACATGTCCAGACCTCACTCTTGTTAAAAACATGGCAAGTTGCGAGTGGTTTAACACTCAGGCGTGTCTCGGCAGCGACCATTATATATTAAGCACGACAATCCCAACCTCGGGATACAAACATAAGAAAAGAGGCGTGCGGATCACGGAATGGGATCGCTTGCGTAAAATCCGACAGGAAATAGCGCCCACCACCATCGATAATATCGAGGAATGGACGCAGCAACTGCAGGACGACGTTGAAACGTATACACAGGATATCCCAGAGGAAGCGGGTATTACGGAAATTGACAATCGACTGCTACATATGTGGCAGGCAAGACAGAGCCTCCACAACCGATGGCTACGACAAAAGCATAACCGAACGCTCAAACTTAGAATAGCGAGACTAGATCAAGATATCGAGGAGTACGCGACAAACCTCACCCATCAACAATGGCATCAAATATGCGACAACATGCAGGGTAGCTTGGGAATGGCCGAGACCTGGCACCTTCTCAAACACCTGCTTGACCAAGAAAATACGAAGGCAGAACATCGCCGCAACATGAGCCGTCTCATACATCACCATCGCGGTGACATGGACGCATTCCTACAAGAACTGCAAACCCGGTACATAGGGAACCAGATACCCACCACCGTCCCCGATTACTGTGGATCACCTAATGAAGAACTCGACTCCCCGATACTGGAATACGAGGTAAGAGCCGCCCTTCAGAAGCTCAAAACCACCTCGGCACCGGGAGCCGATGGAGTGCGAAACAAGACTCTACGGAACCTCGACGACAACTCGATAGAGGCGTTAACGCAATACTTTAACCAGTGCTGGGAGGAAGGCACTCTTCCTGAGCAATGGAAGCATGGCACAGTGGTGTTCATACCCAAGCCGGGGAAACCTCTGCAACTTGAAAATCTAAGGCCCATATCCCTCACATCGTGCATCGGAAAGTTATTTGAACATATCATACTCGCTCGCCTGCACGCCTATGTCGATGATCAAGACCTCCTCCCACACACCATGATAGGATTCAGGCCGGGGTTATCCACTCAAGACGTCCTCCTTCAAATACATCATCAAGCAATTTGCACGCTCAACCAACAGAACTACCGAGCAGTAGTGGGCCTAGACATTAAAAAAGCCTTCGACAACGTGTCCCATATGGCTATCATGGAAAATCTTAAATATCTCCAAGTCGGACCGAAGACCTATAATTACGTGAAGGCGTTTCTGACAGGTCGTACAGCCACACTAAGGGTCGGAGACACCACCTCTCAGACGATATTCATGGGTGGCCGAGGCACCCCACAGGGGGCAGTCCTCTCCCCCTTCCTGTTTAACGTCGCTCTCTGTCGATTGCCAGAGCAGTTAAATCAAATACCCGGGCTCAAACACAGTCTCTACGCCGATGACGTCACACTTTGGGCGGAGGCAGGCACGGCTGGAAGTCTCGAAGGTATATTGCAAGAAGGCATTGACGCTGTACAAAAGTACGCAGGCATTCGAGACATGGCCTGCTCCACAGAGAAGTCGGAGTACATGGTGCTCAGACCAGTACGGAGAGGCAAAGCGACGCGTGAACAACCTTGCAGACTGAAGCTGACTCTACAAGGCACAGAAATAAATGAGGTCGACACCATTCGCATTTTGGGTATGTTGTTCCAGGACAACGGTCATAACAGCGAAATGATCCGCAAACTGGATAGTGTCACACATCAAACATCCCGCCTCATCAAGCGAATATCAAACAAGCATCACGGAATGAAGGAAAATGATTTAATTCGGCTCGTACAAGCTTTTGTGCTTAGTCGCATCAACTACGTCGCCCCATACATGAAACCCTACGCAGTGGAACGCAACAAATTAAACACGATCATCCGAGGAGCGTACAAGACGGCCTTAGGGCTCCCTATTGGCACATCCACTGACAAACTACGAGCGCTCGGAGTTCATAACACCGTGGAAGAACTCATTGAAGGACACCTTCACTCTCAATATACTCGCCTCACCACCACGGCGACGGGCCGACATATTCTTGCCGCGCTAGGCATTCAACACGAGGGAACGACGCAGCCCAAAATGAACCTCCCAAGGGAAGTCCGGAAGCACCTTCTGGTCTCCCCACTGCCGAAAAACATGCACCCGGAATACCACGATGCACGTCGCCGAGACCGCTGCAAGCATCTTCACGAACGATACCATCAGGATCTCGGTGCAGTTTATACGGATGCGGCCGACCATGCCACGAATCCGGCAATGACGATGGTCGTCACGAACTCCCAGGGGGTACTTCTCAGCGGTGGATCCATTGCCACCACCAGTACTGAAGATGCGGAAGAGACAGCCATAGCTCTAGCCCTCACGCTACCTAACGCTACCACCATCATTTCGGACTCCAAGCGCGCAGTTCAAAATTACGCCCGGGGCCGCATATCGAGGTTCGCGGCCAGGATCCTCCGAGACATCGTCCCTACTGACACGGTCAGCATTGTCTGGGCACCCGCCCACTCCTCTCTCCCAGGCAACGACTTTGCCCACAACACCGCCCGAGAACTTGCCTACCGGGCACCGGGAGATAGGGAAAGTGGTTTGACCCTCCACAAGGATGTACTGACCACGTATCAGGAAATTACGCAGGCATACCGTCTCGCTCGCGAACGATACCCCGCCGGCCACAAATCCTTAAGCAAGGCCCAGGAACATACCTGGCGCCGATTGCAGACAAACACATATCCTCATCCCACAATATATTCGCACATTTATCCCGATAGGTACACGGGCATATGCAAATTCTGTCCTCAGCCAGCCAACCTCACCCACATGATGTGGGGGTGCCCCAACCTCCCGAAGAGATATGGAAACGTCGAAACTATGGAGCAGTGGGACGCAATGATGTGTAGCTCAGATCCGGTCGTTCAAGCGGCGGCCTGTGAATGGGCTGCGGAGGCCGCCGGGGCGCAAGGGCTCCCGGTCGCCTGATCCCATCATTTTACCCTTCTGAATGTACGAATAAAGTTTTCAACAACAACAACAACAACACATTATATCACGCTGCGCTTGTGTAATTATTTGTCTTAGATTTATTAGCCTGACCCAGTACTTAAACCATTCAGTTATCGATAGTAAATCTTCCAATATATTTTTTAAATGTGAGGGTAAAAAGACACAGAGATTGACGATGATACAGACGCCAACGCCGCCCTCGGAAATTTTTTGAACATTAGAAATCAGCAGTTTGTCTGCCATCCGCCAGGTAGCGCAACAAAACACCCAAACAGTTTTTAATCGTTCTTAAAATTAGCTAAGCTCTACGCCTATTAAGAAATCAAAGCAAGATCATTGTGAAAATTTAATACATCGCAATGTATATCTATTCCAAACAATAAATATTATTAGATGCCAATAAATCTGTTTGATGTCCAAAAAAGATATGCGTCAAAACAGGTAAGTTTGAAACGCTCCTGGAGCGTTATGACTTTGAAAATGGAAAAAAGCCATCGTCCACCTCTTGTGCAACCATTGTAGCTCTAAATGTTATAAAAGATTTTATCATAGTTTAATTATTTCCTCAGCGGCATTTGAAGTACCATGACTCGAAGCACAAAAAAGTGCTACGTTTGATATAAAATATCTAAACAAAAAAATTTCACCCAACATTAAATTTTTTTCTGCATATTACCAATTATAAGCACTACATCTGTAGCTAATTTCATTGCCCTCGCGCGTGTCATTAAAAACATATTTGTGCTGAAAAATGTCAATTTTAGGGCAATATTTGGAGGGATGAAAAAAACAAAGTAGTGCGAATACCAAAAAAGTGTATCGTTACATTCTGCTCCGACATCATCTTAACAAAACTGCTATATTGGAACCGTGTTATCTTTAATGGATCGTTCATAAAACATGAACTAGCGGAGCAAGTGAGGGTCCGCGCCATCATATTCGCAACGCTACAAATGCGCATGAACAGTAAAAACCAAAACATACATAATATCAAATGAAAGAGGATTGCATTGCCTTTCGAATGACATCAATCCCACAAAACAGTATTTAAAAGGAGATGACCTGCCAAAAAGTACCTAAACTGCCACATTCAGTGGGACCGTGGCCTTAAGATCCATTATACATTTTTCTTGTTACATACTATATGCCTGTGAGTCTATGCGGAGGGCAAGTTCGTCTGCTTCTTGCGCAGGGGGTAGCGGTGACGTCAGAACGCCGAGCCCTGATTGGCTGATCGCGACCCCCTATCTGAGCGTCGTCTGCTCCTTTGCAACGTCGTCCGCTCGCAACGTCGTCTGCGTCTGTCTTACCTTTCCTGCGGCTTTCGGAAGTGCAGAGGCCAGATTTACGAAACGATCTTACGCCAAAAATGTGCGTAAGACAAAACTTAAGAACAAATTCGTATTCACAAAACAAAATTTTCGTAAGTTTTGCGCAGGTTACGACAAAATCCTGCGACAGCTTCGAAGCTGTCTTACGCTCATTTTTCTACGCGCGCTTCGCACTCGTCCCGACTTCAAGCAGTAAGAAAAAAGTAAAAAGTACTTGAAACAGACCACGACGAACAAGAACGCTGGATCCACAAACACCCGGGAAAAGCTCCAACGGCCACGATTCCACCGAACGCGACCAAGTGAGCTAGGCAGTTAGGCCTAGCAGGCACTCCACGACTCGGCGACCGTCTGCCAACGACCGGCTGGCGTGCTGAATGGAATATGCCCGCGCGACCCTTGTGAACCCTTCCCGTATTATACTTTGATCGCTGACCTCAATTTTAGATTAAGAGGTCAATTTCTTCCTCTTGTTAACTCCTTGTTTCCCTGTTTCCCAAGGCAACGGTGACTCTCGCCGGAGAAAAATCGGTGAATCTCCGACAGACGCAGGAAAGGTAAAGCAGCCATCGCTTTGACTAGCAGACGTAATGCAGACGACGTTAACTGCGCCAACCCGCCGACGCCGTTAAAGAATGAGGGGTCTCGCCGCCCACGAAAGGAGGGAAAAAGTATTTGGGAGGGAACTTGCGGACACTAACACGCTCACCCTCTCGGTTCTTAGCAAACAAACCTCGGCGCCTCGGGACACCTCGCCAGTGAGTCCTTTGACTTCCCCCCTTGATGCGCGTCTGCTAGTTGTTAGACAAAAACAACGCACCGCTCGAGTTATTTCGTCTGCCCTCTCTGAAAGGCGAAGTCGAGCTCGCTCGACTTCCGAAAGTCGCAGGAAAGGTAAGACAGACGCAAACGACGTTGAGAGCAGACGACGTTGCAAAGGAGCAGACGACGCTCAGATAGGGGGTCGCGATCAGCCAATCAGGGCTCGGCGTTCTGACGTCACCGCTGCTTCCTCTCTCATGCGCAGAAGACGAGAATGAGCCCACTTGCGAGGCGTATACATGTGCTATCGCCTGGAAACACTTCAAATTATTTTCACACAACAATTTCTATAAATTCATAATGTTCAGTCAAAGTGTAAATTTAGCCATAATCTAAACCTGTGCTAATTCAAAAAAAAAGTTTTATTTTTATTTTTTTAATAACTTCGTTTTGCGCATAATCACAGTCCCTTAAGGGAGGAGTTCAGTCCGGCGTCAATTTCAACGTTTCCAACTAAACATATTTTCTGAAAGAGCACAAGCAACTGAGCCTAAAACAACAAATAAATTCCCCCCCCCCCCCCAAAAAAAAAAAGAAGAAAAGAATAAATAAATAAATATATTTAGTAGCAGAAATACGATATAAGCAAAACCGAAACTAACTTGCAACTGTAATGGTCTGCCATCTTGTTGAGGCTTGAAATGTATGTCGAACATCAGCACATGCGCAGCTTGAGCCTGCTTCGCCCAGCGTCAGAAGCAGTCAGAAGTACGTCGCGATCGTCCGTAGGAAATAATGGGCAACGATTTATCAAGCTTGTCTTAGTCCAGCAATGACCAGCAAATGTTTTCAGATTTACAGCACGAGATTTCAGACGATTCGCCGTTCGCATTCGAAATCCGCCGACATGTAAACTCAGAGGCAGCTTTGAAGCAGAATGACATGGAAGGTTTTATTTGCTAGCAATGTGTGAACGGTTTTCTAGTACGACGCGAACGCTAGGAGCCAGCGTTTGCATCGAACTACTCGAACCCACTTCCGTCTCAGAGACTTCTCGGTCGGAAACCAATTAATGTCACTCTGCTGCATTTCTTTGTGCTTTCACTGCACCCCACAGCCAATCCCCGATGCCCCGCACCCTCCAGCCGGATGCCGCAAACGACTCTCGCTATCACTACAACGCACAACGCTGTGGAGCAGGAAGCGTCGTCTGCTCTCGGATACATTTGACGTCACAGGTGGTGCTGCTCGTTGTTGACAGTAGAATGGAGCATAGAGTTATTACAATAAACGCTAGAGGCTCAGCCGGCGCTAATATGCTGTTGCATTTTGAAGCAGACAGCAAGCAGTCAGAAATTGACTTCCGGTAATGCATTTCTATGGGAAAAAGCGAGTGCATTTTCTCTCTGCGCTCGATTATAAGAGCAAATATCACGAATAATTTGTACGTACTAGGCACATTGGAACATTTCTCGGCCACGCAGACGAAATAATTGGTCAGTTACAGCATTTTTATTTGAAATTCGTGGCATGAAAAACGGTGTTAAAACCGCTTCGTACGTGCATTCATGTGCACTGTCGGACACAGTTAGCGCGAACACGGCGTCGACGCTTTCCAGCATTCGGCATATACGTGCCAAGCGAACGAAGGACATGTGGAAAACTAAGAGAGGCGGCAAGAACTACGCAGTAACACTGGATAAGTAACTCCTTGTGCTTGCAGACGATCAAAATAAATATAAAGCCACGTGATATAGTCCGATTTGCGATAAAAAAAAAGTACTGCTTTATTCTTTCTGCTCATGAATATGTGCGAAGATGCTTGTTCTGTGTTGAAATCATCACCCGCACGCTCCGAATCTTTGCAAATAGGGGGAAGCCAGAGAAACAGGTGCGCGATAAAAACTGCCAAACACAGGAAATAATAAGAAAACACACCTTTCGTAGCCCACGTACTTTATTATTTACGTTTCGAACGTTTTTTTAATCACGGGTAAAGATGCACGACGGGGTCATTTTCATATAGTGAGAGGACAGGCATATTAGCAAGATATATAAGCACCAACGGAATGCTGGCGAACTTTGAACACACTCTACATTGCTTTCGATCGTTTTTTTTTTTTTTTCGCTTAGAATCGTCGCTCGTTTCTACCTACCTGCCATGAAACAGAGGTTTGGGACCGAAATATAGCGAAGTTTAGCATCGTTCGTTCGTAAAGGAAAAACGATGTAACTAAAACAATTGCACTTTCACAATATTAATAAAGGTACATAATATCCGGTACAACCGAAATAACAAAAGTTATTTATGTTATTTTCCGGCGACGAGACAAAATTCATGCGCGTTTTCCCATAGGAATACACAGGAAGACTGGAAAAGTAGACTGCATGCTGTCTGCTTCAATTTGCAACCGGAAGTCCCGTAGACACTAACGCCAGCTGAGCGTCTAGCGTTTATTGTACTAACTCTATGGAATGGAGGTGTTCGCGTAAACTTCAAAATTCATTCTGTCCAAAGAAAATTAATATTTTGATTAAATATTACGTAGACATACGGGTGGATATTTAGTACAGGATGAAAATTTCATAAAGATCAATGACCATCAATATTTTGCCGGAGCTTCCCTTGAAAGTGTTTAAGTTTTAGTGCTGATTACGCTGAGAAAACCTAAATATAGTTCCTTCTTTTTGTATGAATTAGAATTTGTAAATAGAATAGAATAGAAACCTTAGAATTTGTAAAACCTGTTGTAAGCGTTGGTACAATACTTCCAATTTTCAAATGTCAAGGGCTGACATCCGTCGCTGCTGCGTGACGTCACGTGACGCAAAGGAACGTCGGATCAAC